TGCACAGAAAGCCTAACAGCACAGGTTTACATACACACCCATTAATGAAACAAATCTAAAGAAAAAAAGGAACAAGCATTTAAGACAATGCAATTTATACTGCAGTAATACAACACACAAACATAAGAGGACATTTATACAAAAGTGACAAAGCCATAAACAAAAGGAGACAAAGACCAAAGGAGAATTCCCCTAACAGGCTCAGAGGGGGGGAAAAACGGCCATAAATACAAAATGATACAAAAGCAAAGGGGGGCGGGGGGGACACACAACAGTACACCATAGGGGTTGAACGACTTCTGATTTTTTGAATCAGAAGTGATGAAAGTCGAGTCGAAGTCAACTAGTCGCTGATGACATCATTAATGAACAAATAAGTCTGGAGCGGTGACAAACACCTTGTGCACATCAATGGCATTTCCAACTACAAAACCCCTGCATTGCTAACGAGACGTTGTCGCTGCAGCTGCTTGAGCGTGGAGGAAATGATGAGCAGTGTACAACTGACTGAGGGCCGAGATATGTTAATACAAACACAACAGTACACCATAGGGGTTGAACGACTTCTGATTTTTTTGAAGTCGACTTTGTAATGAAAGTCGAAGTCGACTAGTCGCTGATGACGTCATTAATGAACAAATAAGTCTGGAGTGGTGACAAACACCTTGTGCACATCAATGGCATATCCAACTACAAAACCCCTGCATTGCTAACGAGACTTTGTTGTCGCTGCAGCTGCTTGAGCGTGGAGGAAATGATGAGCAGCGTACAACTGACTGAGGGCCGAGATATGTTAATGCAATCAGTCAGCGGTCATGGGCAGAGCCTGAGCAGTACAATGTCATATTGCTCAGAAAATCTAAACGCTTGATAACTGAGACGGCTTAGGTTTTTTGGGGATTAAAAAAATTTAATGAATGGATTTTTATCATTGTAGGGTGGTTGTGTACACACACTGCTAAGACACATTTACTGTATATTCAAACGCCATGTAAAAAGTGAATTTTGCATCCGATGTCCCCTTTAAAAATGTTGACAATGACATTTTAAAAGTAATATTTTCAGTACATAATTACTCGGCATAACTTGCATTAAAAAAAAACTGTTCATCAAATTCAGTTTGCATAATTTGGACAACATTTAAGAGAAGGTTGAATATCAAGGGTTTAAACCAGTGGTTCTCAATTCCAGTCCCAGAGACCCCCGCTCTGCACATTTAGTATGTCTCTCTTATCTGACACACTTAGTTCAGTTCATGGATCACTCTCCTAATGAGCGAATGATCCGATTCAGGTGTGTTAAATAAGTCCCCAGGACTGGAATTTAGAACCAGTGCTCTGTTGGTTAGATGCTTCAATATCGTTGTAACATAAATATACAGGCATGACAAATTAATTTCAAAAATAAAGTACAATGGGAAAAAACTCTCATTCCAATCTTCAGAAGATTATTCACTCACCAACTTCCATCTCAGTCTGACAATCCTGTGCACGCACAGCTGGTGCCCATTTATACTCTTGGGCACAACCATTGACAGGGATGCAAGCAACCAGGAATCAAATTAGCCAAACAACCAAATCTCAAGATTATAAACTTTTTGTACATGTTCTAAACCACAAATTATTGTTATTTAACATTCATGTATAGATATTTCACCATTGTACATCCATTCAACTTCAAAGCACAAACATTTCCCTTCATTTGGTTTCTGCCATCTCCCATGATGCATTCAGTTATAGGCTACAGATGAAAATAACGTCCATTTGAAACAAGAATTATGATCACAGATATTTCTATAATAAAACATTTAAAAAATATATAAAATATAATTCTATAATAATGAAAATGTCCATTTGAAATGTATGAATTATGAAAACGTGAAAAAGTCCATTTAAAATACATGAATTATAAGACAGGAGAAAATAATATTTCTATTAAATTAATTATGAAAATATTTAAAAATTGTATGAAACATGAATTATGAAAATATGTAAACGTGTATTTGAAATACATGAATTATGAACACACAGATGAAAATATTTCTATAAAATGAAAATGTCCATTTGAAATGCATGAATTATGAAATTAATTATGAATTATGAAAATATGTAAATACCCATTTGAAATACACAAATTATAATACAGATGAAAATAATATTTTTATTAAAAATTTGTCCATTTGAAATGCATGAATTACATTTATACAGATGAAAAGAATATTACTATAAAATAAAACGATGTCCAATTCCAATACAAGAATTATGATAAAATAGATTAAAGTAATATTTCTATAAAATTAAAATATACTATGACATACAAGTCATGGCCAAAAGTTTTGGCAGTGACATAAATTTTGTGTTTTGCAAAGTTTGCTGCTTCAATATATGTAGATTCTTTTTCCACATGTTTCTATGTTATACTGAAAAATAATGATATCATAAGTTTTAAAGGCTTTTATTGGCAAAAAAATATAATGAGTCAATATTTACAGTGTTCATCCTTGTTCTTCATAACCTCTGCAATTCGCTCTGGCATGCTGGATATTAGCTTCTGGGCCAAATCCTGACTGATGGCGATCCATTCTTGCCTTATTAGTTCTCGGAGTTGATCACAATTTGTGGGCTTCTGCTTGTCCACTCGCCTTTTGAGGACTGACCACAGTTTCTCTATGGGATTGAGATCCGGGGAGTTGCCTTGCCACAGATCCAAACTTTCAATGTAATGATCTTCGAGCCACTTCTTTATCACTCTTGCTTTGTGACATGATGGTAACTCCATCATGCTGGAAAATGCACGGATCATCACCAAATTGCTCATGGATCGTTGGAA